TTAGCGTATTCCAGTGTACTAGATTAAATTTGCAGAGAAAGCATAAAGAAAGGACTGAACTTAATGAGATGAAGACGACCAAGGAAGTAGATCAAACAAATTTCAGTGTTGGAGCAAGCACATTACCGCAGGCATACGATTTACCAAGTTTAGATAATGACCTTGTTACCAAGTACACGTCGGAGCAAGACAACATGTATGCCCAAACTAGCCGAAAACAGAATATCCCAACAGTAGTTCATATTAACAGAGGAGTACAAGACCAGTTCAATTAGCAGACAAACATGAGTCCTTCGTTTAAACCAAACTAGGAGGGTAAACACCGCGCGACGCGCGTGAGGTTATATGAGATTGGCATGCCCATCGAATGAGATTTTCTAGTACAAAATAAAAGGAGGAAAACACTAAGAGAAAGCTAAATAATGTGATATTAAAGCAAGTAGCAGATACATGCCTACTTCAATATCAATAACAATGTGCTATAACTTATTACATTTGTCTTGATTGTTTATATATTAGGAAAATTTTTATAAGTGATATAATGTACAACATTTGGAATTAGATAACTACGATTAAAGAAGACAAATTTTTAAACTGGAAATACAATTCAAAATCAAGAAGAATTGGTGCTAGAATGTGAATTCAAGGTTATAATCTATCTTTTTTTCCCCCTATATCTGCCTTTGGTAGATTTAACTAATTAAATTGCAATAAAAAAATGCCTTCGGAATGAAAGAATGTGATAAATTCCATATTCAAGCATTCTTGTCTCATTATTTCCTATCAAGAGATAGTAGCACTCAGTGAAGGCAAGGCCTCTAATAGCAACTACCTATTAATGACGGAGCCTGATCTTCCTCTCAATGTTGTATGCAACTATCACGATTGGAGACTTTAGTATCGTTTGAAAATCCTTGATCCATGCGATGTTTTAGGCAACCAAAAGCAATTGCGAATACAGAAGTTTCCCTCTTAAATACCATACACCAACAGATAGAAATATGAGATCCAAAACTCCAATCATGTCAAGGAGAAAAATATCCGCGATCAAATTCCATCCCCTCTACAATGTGCAGGCTATTTTTACCATAGCTCCATGTCTCACTTCTTATTAATTCTCTTCCTACTTTTGAAAAGAGTCGAAGTCCTGTTTCCTACTGCATAATCATTTCCTGCACTAACAATAGCAATATTTGCAAAATCATGACCGACAAACCTACAATCATCAGAAATTTAAAACTTAAAATGATTTTTCTTCTTGCAATAGTACAAAGATGGCAAATTACCTCCCTGATGCCAATTTGAGTTCTGAAACAAGCATTTTGGTAGTTTTATCAAATCCCATATGAGAGCTGAATATGTTTCATCCTGAAAAAAAAACACAATGAAAAGTGAAAATGGAACATTTTAAATTGCTTTGACACAATAATGGCAATTTCAAAAGCAATTGATAGCGGTAGCAAAGTCACCTTTAACTTTGATAACTTTAATTAAAGAGAGCAATGTAGACAACAATAAAAAATAGGTCAAATTAGAGATCGACAAAAATAAATTGGAGCTAAGATGAGAACAAATTCAGCAACATTTGCACCGTCCTGCCTCGCTAATTTAACTCCCACATACTCCAAAGCATCCTCCAATCAATCTGTTCTGCGCAAGTAAATTACATGAAGTGCAAATAATAACTAAACTAAGAATAAGATAATATTCCTATAAACATTTTGCTTTTCTTTGAGATGATAGATTGCAAATTAGCAGCTCTCTTAAGCCCCAAAAAACTACACCACATACGAAAATATGCATTTTGCATTAGTATGCAAAAAATACACTCTAGCAGAATGACAGAAAGTACAGATACAGATGTTGGACTTTAGGCTCAAATCTTCATTAAAAAGCTCCAAATTATTTATCAAAATTATTTCTAATACCTGGAGCATTTTTTATCCATTATTCCCCTTCTCTTAATCATTATTTGATGGCTTTCCAAATGTAGTATACTTAATGATAGTAAATAAATCTAAAAGATTTAGAAGAAAACAAGAAGCAAATAGCACCTTCTTCCATTAAAAGTATGAGAATAACTGACATAGCCAAATATAAGAAGAAGAAAATTTTTAAGACATCATGTTGTGGAATCTACCATAAGGTCACCTCAAAGTGAAATAAGTAGATTGCTTGAACTGATGCAAACGCTATGATTGTAGTAAAAAACAACAAACTTGCTAGCAATTTCAGCACTAATATTGCTTGTACATATCAAATACACTGATATACCATGTAAGACTTGTTACCTGTTTAAAACACTTTCAGTATCTTTAACAATCTTGGGATGCAATTTAATGTGCAACACCAAAATTCTTCCTTTTGGTCCCGAAGTTACTCCAACTACTTTTGCCACGAAGTCTACACATGCCTGCACAATTAACAAGAAAACTTTACTAATCATTCACCACTTAAAAATATTATACAAGAAATAAGTAATAGATGTAAACCAGAAGCTTCTCCAACGCTGAACCATTATGGTTAAAATAGAGTTCTTTAGCCATAGCTATTGCATTTAGCATAGAACTTATAGTTTCAATTAAAGCTACAATATGGTTCATACATGAACATTGATGGCTAGGGATAACAGAACGCCTATGTTTTTCGTTTTGCTTCGTCATCATGAAAGTTTGTTAAAATAAAAAAAAAATCATCTAGTTATATATATGATCAATCATCATCAACAACCCTTTTAAAATCAGGGTTCAAGGTTCCAAGAATAAGAACCATTGAGACAGTTTTTAAGATGACCTTAGAGGGGGCACTTTTTAAAAAATTGATAAACAAGACCTATGAGACAGTGAAATAAAATATCTTGCACAAAGCCTTTTTTTTCCTTTTCCGTTGGGGTGCTGTATGAATAAGTGTATCTAAGCATTCATAAGATAATTAGTTGAAAGTTAATTATAATTATACCCATAATTGTGTTGTATATAACATGAATATGATAATTACTACCAACTTTTGGAAAACATAAATCAAGTATGAAAAGCCAAAATCAGTTTGAAACATATAACTTGTTTCTGTTCATAGTAGAAAAATGAAAAATAAAATGCACAGCAGACATAGCAACCTCCTTGGGAATAGAAATAGCTCTTCTGTGACATGCAATATTGTATCTGACTGTAAGGATAGCAAGCAAAGAAGCTTTGCATGGCATATAGTGCAAATTAAATCAGAATTTGATTTCTTTTTTTTTTTTTGCCGAGTCAAGTACACAATAGGGGAGAAAAGTGGATTTCATTTGAAAAAATACATCACCATAAAATAATAATAAAAAGAAACATGGTAATTAGAAGAATATACCTTTCTTATATAGAAAGACATGATTAAACATCTTTCATCCTTTTCTGTCCTCAAAAGGTCAAGAACGACATCAATCTTCCATGAAAATATAAGTGAATGAGATGGTAGTGTTTTCATAGTACAGAGAGAAAAATGTTGCTAAAGACCAGAACATAGCAATAAAATTTCTCTCAAAGGATGACCAAATGTCCCAAATAATAGTAACATCATCTTCAAAATAACCTTCTTAACTTTTCCATTTTTTGCAAGGGCTTATGCAATCCAACATCACTATAAAAACATCTTTTTTGAAGAATATTTTAGATTGTGATCTTGCAACAAAATTATAACGGACAATCTCTTTTTCAGCTAAAGCAAGGCCAACCATTTCTTTGAAGATGAATAGAGGCATAAAATTTTGACAAGCTGCCTTCCTTGAAATAAATCAATATTCATTCCCAAAACTTTTTGTCTTTTGTGCAAGCAACCTTATAATTTCAATATATTTTCACTACCAGAAAGGTTTTACACCAATATGGAATAAAGCCAATTAAAATAAGAAAAGCGAATAACTCCAAAGACCCCAAGACCTGCCATGTTTACATTGACTGATTGGAAAGGTCCAATGTCTCAAGCGATTTGGTGATTGGTAAATGAAAGGTAATAAACAAATTATACCTTAGCATCAACTTCCAAAGAATTGATGTAGAGTTAGTTACTTGGATCCTACAATGAGAACCAAGAAAGCCAAAATAAGTCTTACAAACCAGACAAATGCTAGGAAAATACAGTGTTATATTACCAAATTAAAGGTACCTTTGGTGACATCTAGTTGAAGATACAAAGTTGCTCTATCAATTTGCAATCATCAACATGCCTTATATGCATGTTCTTTCCATGTTAAGATTCATCTCACTCTATTGGCCAATTAAGTTCCATTCTACGTTTTTTGTCTAACTTGATAACATATTTAGAATTAAACAGTCACAGCAATACAACTCAGCAAGAAAACCCACCAAGCACAAGTTATATGATACATGCTAGAAAACTTACTATTATTAATTGTTTAGTAAGGAAATAAAGGAGTATAAATTCCAAATTTCTAGTACTAACTTTTACATATCAGTTATGAAGGTTAATAACATGTGGATCCCTTGATACATTTGATCAAACAACTACATGACAATGCGGGGTAGAATTGCTAACATGCACAACTTAGTCATATCCGTTTTCTTTTCTGTGAGAAAAACTGCCTCACTCGTAAGTGCTTTAAAAGCCATCATATGGGAAGAATGATCAAAAAGGTTGAAAGAAAAATGGATCACGCAATAGCTTAACAAGTGAAAGCTAGATCAAGAATCAAGAGGTTGATCATTTCAGAACTAACTGAAACATAAAGGGAACAAAATAGGAGCTCAAACAACTGAACAGGAGCTGAAAAAAATTCAGTATTCATTGTCAAGAAATCATCAAACTACACTATATTCACTCATATTGAAAATCAATAAGATACCAATACCACTAATGAGTAAAGATTTGTCTCGATGACTATACTATAAAGTACGTAAAAATATTAAATTTTTTTCAAATTCCATAATTTCAGGAAAACAAGTAGCACTCTCCTCACTGAAACTCTAACTTTAGTCACCACAAATGAACAACTTAAGGAATAACAATTGAAATTATGGTAAAAAGGAAAGCAAAAAACCTGTAATAATGGAAAAGCAACAAGTGATAAAGTCCTATGTAACCTCTTCTGCAAAGAGCAAAGGAAAAGGGGTATAACATTTAGAGTACAAACTGCAATAAAATACACATGAACAGAAGAAGGTACAATCAAACTACTCACTAATTTACACAAAGTAAGCTGGATACGATATTGAGTCGTGCTGCTATACTCTGGAGTAGTTCTTGGAAAGGACAGAAGAAAATTTCCAAATTTTGGACCTGCAATATCAAAAAATTATACATTAGACAGCAGAATCGAGAGAAAAAATCATTTAAAGGCATCAGATTGACAAAAATCGAAAAGAAACCTGTGAATTTAAACAATTATTCACATAGAACTTATCCAGAATAATGCTATGATTAGGCTCTCAGCAAATTGGAATTGGAATAAATTGAGAAATCAAAGATAAAAAATTAGTTCGTCAGTTGACCACTCATCGTAGATATCGCATTGGAAAAAGAAACAACGAAGAAAAAAGATTCTCAACCTCGACAGAAAGAAAGTGCACCAATCAATTTCGGAAGTTTATTTGTCGCGTTCTACACCAATCAATTTAACAAATTACCTATGATTTTTATTTTACTTCAAAAGTTTATTTACTTTTTAACCCCCTAACACACAAACAAGTCTTTTCACTACTTCTTTTCCCCTAAAAAAAGTTTCAGAAAGACGTACAAAAACAAATATGTTTCAGACAGAAAGAATCACGAGACAAAAAAAAAACAGATAAAAAGGAAATTGAAAACATAAATTAAACAAATAAAAAATGCAAAGGCAGGTGAGAAAAAGAACTAAGAGTCTCAAAGATGGGGAAAATCATGGAAAACACTCACTCTGATCCGGAGTCATCTTTGAGAAGCATTAGAGAAATATACAATCTTCTACCTTCTTTTTCAAACAAACAAATGCAGATGTGATTGATGGGAGAAGGTTACCTGCTCCCAACTTTTCAGTGATGGTAGCGGGTTCCCTTTTCTATACTCCTTTCATTAACCATCCGACTCCCTCTCTCTAACCTTTACTTTCTCTTTTTTCTCGTCTTCTTCCTCATCCTCAGAAAGAAAATTGCACTTTTTCTCTCTTCAATTTCAGAAGCTTTTTCTCTCTTCAATTTCTTTAACATATATATAAAAGGACAAATGCCATGGCTCAAAAGGAATGATTGTTTTGCTGATGTGGCCAATCGTTATTGGCTGGAATGTGTTCGTCCATCTGTTTATTCTGTTCTATACGTAGTACCTAAAGTCAATAAACTTTTCAATAATAACTTCTTCTTCTACATGACAGACTAAAACTGTCCTAAGACATTGACACAAGTACAAATTTGAAAAACTATTGATAGAAGAGTTGTATCTAAAAGCATCTCAATTTAATCACCAATAAAATCCAACCAGAGCTTTTCACATGAACAACAAACAGCTCTGCATTTTTAGAACCACTGTTAATTCTAAAATTGTGAAAACAAAATGACTATAGCCTATGAGACATAAACAAGATGACAAAAATAACAAGTATCCCCATGAAAAAAAACTCAAAGCAAGAAGCACTCTCAAATTGAGACCTAAACAAACGCAAGCAATTTGAAAGAATTGACAGAACTGCAACAGTGTATACATTTTCAAAATCACAATCAGTTAGTCCTCGGATGCTAGATTGCTAATCACTTGAGACAAATAAATCAGCCAATTAATAGGCCCCAGAAAGCACGATAGTCATCACCCTTAACTATGTACACTGATAGGCATTAGTTAGCGAAAATTAAAAGCACAAGTCTTCACAAAAACTACAAACAAATACAAAAAAGGCGTATAATTAGACATTTAATAAAAACAGAGTTTAACTTAAACAAGTAGATGGATGTAATAGAAGGTAAACAAGGAAGAATCCATCTTCCTTGAAGCGTATACATCTAACAATAATTCACGAGTATGCAGCAAAGCTACTCAGCATTCATCTATTAACTAAAATCAGGATACTAAATCCAACAATGACTCATGTATATAGAGAACTGAAATACTGCTTCGGACATTATTATGTGGCACAATTAAACTAACATGAGAGTATAAGTCAACTTATCCGGAAAACTAAATTCCAATTTGTCAAATTACAAATGGAACAGATTTGCGCTTTTTACCAACCACAACTACCATCTAGGACTGTGGAACAATATGAATGAATAGCCAAGAACCATCAGACTTAAATAAGGGCTATGAAAAGAAAACAGCCATATAGCAATAGAAAAGGACATGATGCAAGAAAAACGTTGATGCAAAGCAGAGACGCTTCCAATCTATGACCACAACAAACGAGCTATCTAAAACATTCTAGACAGTGATTGATCAATAATCAATATGGTTAAGAGATCACAATCAAGTAAAAAGACAGTACCCCTGCAAAGTTACAAGTCTTCCCAGATGATTAAATAGCAGAAGTTTGAAAGATAAAATCACTCTCCAACGATGACCACAAAAGAAAAGCAGCCTGAAATTCTTCACTTGATCTATTGCGCCAATGTAAAAAGCACAAGCATCACAAATTGACAATCTACTAAAGTCATTAAATAGCATAGCTTAATGTCTAGTCACTCTCAAACTATTAGCTATTAGCAGCAAGCAACTTAAAGTATTCATTTTACTAATAAATCATGCACAAGTGAGATATCACTACAATAGTAGCTACTAAAAAGTGTCAAAATCTAAAACTAACTCCTCCAATGTAATAGTACTTGACCAAAACTGATAAACCATAAAAATTAAAAAATTAAAAACAAAAGATTTTGCACATAACTTCCCTTCTGTATGATCTGTTTTCGAAATTATCAAACAAATCAAGTGATCAGAGGCACATTAAAAATCTCGGATTTGAAACTATTGAAAATCATAAAAATCCTAAAACCCTGATCCACCAAGTAAAGTTACATATCCTAGGAAACCTAATCAAGATTTATGCCGAAAAACCTAATCTGCCAAGCAAAGTTACAGATCCTGGAACACCATAATCGATATTTAACCCTGAATCACTTTTTGTAATATAGCAATCTTAAACCCAAATTTTCATAAATTCAAATTTATTCTAAAAAATTCTATGCCAATAAACTAAATTCCCATCTCCTAAAATTCTGAAGTCCATAAATCTGTAACAAAACAAATCAAAAAGTTACCCGTTTCAACTCTAGAAAAAAGCAAGAAAAAGATCATTTAGTCAGAAAAGATTAGCAATACTGAGAAAATAAATTGATAAAATTCAAACACCATTTAGAAAAGAAAAATAAAAATGAAAGATATCTGTAGATATCATTCACCTGAATGTTCAACTAACATTTTAACAAGTCAAAGCCCATTAATTTACGCCTTCCTTTTGCTGTACTTTTGAGAGGCTGAAACGCACAGCTGATCCCCCATCTGAATACAGTTAAAACCCCAAAAATCTGCATAAAACATTCAAGAACAACCATGTATCAAGTATTTCTGATGAAATATTTATTAGAAAGAATGAATTGAATTTCAATAAGGAAAACCAAAAATTTGTGAAACGAATAGCTTTAGTTTACCTGAATCTTCAATTGGCATATGTACAAATCCAAAAGCCCTGAATTTGCGTCTTTCTTTCTCCGCCATTTTCACACACAGAAACACACACCCAATCCCTATCTCCTCTTCTGGAAACAAAATGCTACACAAATAATTTGTGGAAAACAAGAACTTGTTCAAAGAAAACTCTAAAAATCTTTAAAAAAAATAAAATTGGGCCCAATTTGAACGTTATAATTTGGGAAACATATAAAAAAGCACAAAAATTTTGAAAAGCAGAGAGATAGGGAGAGAGATGGTAATATCAGCTTTGATGAGAGAAATGAAGGAGAAAAGGCCGAAGAGAATAGGAGGATTTATATAAGTAGATGGGGTTTTGAGAAGTACAATCAAGTAATTTAAAAAAAAAAACTCACTGATGATGATGATGCTGAGAATCTCTGAGAAGAGAGTTTAAAAGGAGAAGCAATCTTCATTTTTTTCCTTTTATGATAGTGGGCAATCCAATTTACCCGAGACTGAGATGATGAGACTGGCAGGGAAGGAGAGGTAGAAGGACTCGGGGAGATGGAAGCGTAGAAGTCTGGAAGAAATTGTTGGAGAAAGAGGAGAAAAACTTTTGACGTCTGTCACAAGTATCTTGAGCCCATTCCCACTGTGATTGTCACTGAAAATGCCGGAAAAACGTAACTTCTCACTGAAAAAGTCGGGAGCAAGTAACCTAATTTGCCCAATCAAATCAATCGAATTTGTGGTTTAAAAAAGGGTCACTTGCAGAACACGTGATGATAAACAAAACCATGGGATTAAAAAATTTTGGACGAACACCCTCCAACCAATCACATTTCGCTACATCACCAATAATACACACCCTTGAGACATAACATTCCCCCTTTTATACATATGTTAATAAATCAAAAGAAAAAATTGCAAAAAAGCCTTGGTAGGAAAAAAAAAGCATCCCAGAATCTATCACCAGTAGGTAAATTGTGGCCATGAAACGACAATGTAGACAATTGAAGAAACTGCAGTTAAAACTAGAAGCTGGGATCGGCCGGATCTTGACTATTCAAACTCCAGAAGAAGACTTGAGCATGACAAAATTAGCACAGCCAATAATGCACAACAACCACCCGGAATCAGCACAAACGCTCAAAACAAGAGATGAATACTGAACAAATCAGCGCAAAGTTGTTGCAAAAGTATCAGCATAGCAATTAAATCAGAGGACCCACCCGGAATCTATAGAGGAAGTCACTATAGAAAACAGCATTAAAGCCCAAAGAAAAAAGAAAAGAAGAAACAAAACAACGTACTTGCTAGCCTCTTCACGAGTCTCTTCTCCTCTTCCATTCTTGACCACCCCTTAGTAGCTTTGACTCTGTACAAGAATAATAGAGGGAGAGAAGAGAATAAGAGCAGAGGAAGAGGCGAAACATGTGTGATTTTGTATTTTAGTGTGGGCTTTGTATTGTGTTGTTTGAGGGAATAATAGTAAGAGTGGCAATTAAGAAGAACAAATTATTATGCTAATAACCCCAAAAAAGAATAAAATAAAAACAAAATGTATGGTAAGAGAAAGCGACGGCATGGACTCGAAAAATGACAGATCCTGGTCTTAATACATTTTGCATTACTATGTTGTTGCCTTTGTATGACACTAAGTGCAGCGTTATGTCAATTTTGGTACTAGCATCACTTTTGTGGTCAACAGTAGGGTGATTTGTCACTTTTACCCTTTAAAAATTGGACATTGCATATGATCCAGTGAGTTCCGGCCAAAATTTGATCGAAAAAGTGAAAATGGACTAAAGGTGATCATTTTTTGTTTATTAGAGACTAAAACTGATCATTTTTGTTCTGAGGGACTAAATTTTCACATCTATAATATGTGAGGAACGATTGGTGCAGTTCTTCCTAATAAAAATCAACCATAGCTTGAAGTAAAACTTGATGTAAAGATGCATCATGTTTACTACTACAATTTTAGGCTGTTGTATGTAATTTCGTGCATTTAGATTTGATGAATGCGCGTGCACTCTCAATGCTGAAGTCCTAGCCGTCAACTGTGAAGCTTTGATTCTTCTGGCCCCTGCCCATGAAAAGGAGTGAATAAACAGATTTCAGACGAGAACTTGATGAGAATCTTCTCTCCTCCTAATGAGATTTCGTGAGACCAGGACCGGGACCGGGACAGGGACAGGGACCGGAAGATTTCTGCTATTCCACTTCCAGCGTGCCTTTTCAGTGAACGATTGTTGTATGGTACATTGATTTTTTAATTACTACAACTACAAGTAAAAGCTTGTCCAAACCAAAAAAGAAAAAAAAAAAGATTGAAGATATGTGGCTAAATATCAATGGGTAATACAGAAGGTAGAATTGGGAGGTGGAACACAGGATCCTAATCTTTTATTTTTTTTAATTATATTATTTGCTTGGCAATTTAGCCTGATACTACTAATCAACTTATATAGTAAAAGCGCGAATGGATCTTTTAAGAATGGTGTTGTTGTGCTGATGTGGCCAAGTTTATTGGCTGGATGGTGGTCTCCATCATGTGCTTCTCACGTGACAAAAAATTTGTTTTAGGGCTTCCCTTGTTGTCTTTCCCCTCATTCATCTCCGCCGCTTCGTTGCTCTCCAAAGCTCCTCTCCTCTCCCCTTCCATTTTTTTTCATTTCTTTGTTCCTTTCTTCTTTTTGTTGTTTTTTATTTGGTCCTTTTTTCTCTGTTTTTCCTTCCGTTTCCCCTCCCCCTTTTCCCTTTCTTCTCTTTCCTTTTTTTCAATTATATGATTCTAACTGATTTTTTTCCTTGCCTAGAATTGGTCTGGATATGAAGCTACTAAACGCATGAGACACAAAAATCATCTTAATTGGTAAGCTCCAATATTTCCCTAAAGTTTTACAGTTTCCTTTATTTACAAAAGAAAGATATTTTTCCTGCTAAGATTTGTTAATCTTTCGATTAATAAACCAGACGTCTGAAATACTATTCTTCCATCTCCTTCTTTGAGCAAACAAAGAAAGCCGTAGTAAATCTTCATCAAAAGCCAGCGAAAGTCGGAAGTATTTATAAACCCAGAGATTGCTATTTTTTATTTTCTTCCGACTTTCGACTATCATTCATCTACATTTTCTTTCTTCTTTGTTAATCAACAAAAATTTAAAACAAATATGGCACTTTGATTTTTTTGTTTAGTTTTTGTTTCTTTCTTTGTTTTCTCGAATTTGCAGTTACTCACAATCGCATTTTGCCTCTCATAGATTGCGGACAATGGATTGAAAGTCCACGAGAAGGAGAAAAAGAATCAACTTTCCAGGTTGTGCGATTTTCTTTAATTTATTTTTCAGCCTTTTTCCAATTTTACTCTAGCCTTCAAATTTTTGTTTCCGTTTTTTTTTGTAAGAAAAGTTTTTGATTTCAGATCTCTTGCTTAGTACTTTAGTTTTTTGCTATTAACGATCTCATTTCTGCTGTCTATTGGACAGATAGGGATCTCATTTTTCTTTTAATAAATTGAGGGAAAAATGGAGAAAGTCGACGGAAGAAGAAAAAAGATTTAAGTTTCAAGTTCTTGATTTTTTCTGTAGTTTATTTCAAGCATTTTTCTAATTTTACGCTAAACTGGACTTCAAGTTTCCGGTTCCTTCTTCTTTTTTTTTTTTTTTTTTGGCTTTTCCATTGAAGATTATATGTTTTAATTTCTTGTTTAGTTATTTAGTTTTGCTGCTGCTAATAGTTTTGTTTTCCATTTATGTCATATTTTGATTTCTATTTAGTAGATTGAGGAAAAACGCAAGAAATATCCACAAGAAGAGATAGATTTAACTTTTTAGGTTGTGATCTTTTTTCCCCCAATTATCTTTGCAGCTCACCTGAAATTCAGCTTTCAAGTTATATTCTATTCATTGGTTTCACAAAGTAGCTATAGGTATTATTTCTTAGTTTTGCCATTTATCTTTACTATTGCCTTCTTAACACGGATGGTTATTGCATCCAAGTTATACATGGTATTGGAGATCCTGTTTGAATTGTGCTTGGAATAGATGTCTTTGTCATTACTTTTCCATTGCAGTAGTTGTGACTTTGTATTTAGAGTATGCATAGAGTGGTGTAGTTGCATTTACAAGTGTGGTTAACACTTATTGCTAAAATGTCTTATGGTGTCTGAGTTTTGCAGCGGAACCAAAAGTTTTTATGCTGTAATTTGCTTCAGAACAATATTGAGTTTTTGGTTGAGCTTAACATGTCTAGTGTATCAAATTCCAAAAAGTCCTTGCTCTCAAATTACATTTGTGCAGTGCAAGAAATTCAGATACACAATGAGGAAAAAGTGATTGCCAAAATGTGTATATTTGGCCATACTCTTAACTGTGATTATTTTATTGGCCATCTCACCTTTTGTTCAATTTGTTGTATGGGTTCCAGATTTTACTTTTCCTCCATTTTTATCTCAAACATTCTGTGCAGAAGGCATTCAATGGAAAATCATATTTTCTTAATGTTTATGTGCCATCATCCTGTACAAGAAGGAAAGATTTTTATGTATGCAGGGATTATACTTGGTTCATAGCCCATGATTGCAATGTTATTTTTCTTTTTTCTTTTTGGGTTTTTTTGAGTATCCAAAACTCATCTGGTGTTTTAATAGGTTTTTGTGTTAAGCTGATTGCTGGTAGTGATAGGAGGGAAGCTACTTATATTATTCTCACTAGCTTTAAGGCTACTTAAGTTTTCTATTTAACCTTTTTCTACTTAATTAGGTATATTTAGTCGTTTAATGTACTGTTGTTTACTTAATGTTTCTTTTACCATGAGATTCTTGTAATTTTGTAGTCTATGAATTTTTAGTAAGAAATTTTCATTTATTGCAGATTATTTAATATTTGATTTGAAATTCATTTGTTAGCTTGCTTATATGCAGTTTCAATGTATTGATGTATTTACCTTTTGGTTTGTAGTTTGCTCTCTTATTGTAATTATTGGTCTACAGAAAAGAATGATTCATTTATAGTGGCTCATGTGCAATTTCTTACTATCAATGCAAAAAACAAAAAAAAACCCCACTTAATAACTACCAGTGCAACATTCATTGAAGATAATGCATACATGGTGGTAAACAGACTGATTTTGTATTCTTTGGGGTTTTTCCCCCTGATGAATAAGAGAAAATTTTCCCTTCCCTAGATTCTTAAATGTATATGCTGATAGGCTTTAGATTATCACTTAATTGTGTTCTTTTGTTTATTTGATAGATTATTTTCCTCAACAATTGAAGGTTACGAAACTAGAATAGAAACTCCCAGGGGGTTGATACATGTACATTTGCTTGTGAAAGTTAAAAATAACATATTGAATAGTTGTGCCTTTTAATTTTCTTTGCCTTTCTACTCTTGAATAATGAGTTGGACTGGGGCAATTTCTTTTCTGGCATGTTCTTTTTTTTTTCTTCCTGGCTCTCTTAGCTCGTCAAAGAGCCTATTACTTTGGTTATTATCATAACATGGTTAGGTTACACAATTTATTTCGCCAATTTAATGGGTAGATTTTACAAACTTATTTTTTTCTTTGCATTTTAATCTTGATAACATCTCATTAATGTTTCAAAAATTAGAAGATCAATTTTTTAGCAAATGCTTTTACATTTTGAGCATTATCATTTAATTACATGGCTTTGTTTTAGAAGTGTTTGTGAGCAAGTTGGGTAAAGCAGAGTTGACGATTGAACTATGTGGTTCATTGCCTACAATAGCAGTCTATTTTGCCCATAGTAATTGTAAGACAAAACAGCCAAGTTTGATCTAATAATTGTTTGTTTATACTTTTATGGGTTTTTTTAGGATTAATACCACTTTGTCCCCCCAAACTTTGAACGATTATCCACTTCAGTCCCTAAACTTCAAAATGGGACACTTAAATCCCTAAACTTATAAATACCTCCCACTTAAGGAAAATTGTTAACAAATCCTGAATGTCGTTGGTGTCGAAGTGTCCCATTTTATAAGGGTTTAGGATTTAAGTGTCCCATTTTATAAGTTTAGGGACTTAAGTGGGAGGTAATTTATAAGTTTAGGGACTTAAGTATCCCATTTTGAAGTTTAAGGACTGAAGTGGGTAATCATCAAAGTTTGGGGGGACAAAGTGGAATTAACCCTTTTTTTTAATATTATTGACAATATCTTACTTGAGATTTTACTTCGTATGTGAATTTGCGAAATGAGATTTTTAAAGCCCTTTTTTCTATGGTTAGTCATTATTGGTGAAGTCATTTTTTCAGTGTATGTAATATATGGTTCTTGGTATCTCAACGTTATAGTATTCAAATGTGAAAACAGTTTGAAAAAATGGAAGGAATATCCACTGAAAGGAGAAAAAAATTTTAACTTTTCAGGTTGTGGATTTTTTTTGATTTATTTCCCTGTCATTTTTCCAATTTTACACTAGATTGGACCTTCAAGTTTCTGCTTCCTTTTCATTTCTGAAGTTTTTAATTTCTTGCTTGCTTCTTTAGTTTTTCTGCTCCTCATAATCTTAGATTGCTGCCTATTTGATAGATTGAGGAACATCACAAGGAAATACTAATGGGAGGAGAAAAAGATTTAGCTTTTCAGGTTATCTTTTTTTTTTTTTTATTTTGTGGTCATCTTTCTAGATTACCTTAACTTTGAATTTCAAATTTCTGATTTTTGTGCTATGTAGTGGTTTTTCACGAAGTGTCTGGTGGGTGTTGAAATTGTTAATTTTATGAATTTTTTTTTTTTAGCTATTGCCTTCTCAACATGAATTGTTATGCATCTGAAGCATATATGAAGCTGGAAGGTTTAGTTTGAAGTACTCTTTTACACACTTTTGGCAAAAGAGTGTAAATCTGCCAAAATTAACTAATATGCCAAAAGAGTGGTCGTCTGTTAATCAAGTGCATCTGTTAAATCAGAAGTTAAATGATAAATAACATTAACTAATATGGAACAAAAGGTCGAGGTTAAGACTTTTCACTTTCACTTTTGCAGAGAAGTTTAAAGATTTTCCGAAGAAACCTCTAAGCTGGTTCAGGAATCATTTTTTGCTCAGTTAAAAGTTGAATCCTTTTGTTCTTTTCTTGTTTTTGCACTGAATATGGGACCTGGTCTTCATGCAATTTCTGTCTCTGCATCTTTTAGGACAAGTCAATATTTCTAAAGTAGTATATGTTTGAGAGTAAGAGTAGGGAGATGATTGTCTACACAACCGAATGTACTTTGCCATTGCAATTTCTCAGGGATAAATTTTTCCCCTTCAGTTTTTATCTCTGACCTTTTCTTTCTTCTTTTTCTGGTATCCACTACAGGAAGAAGCAATCTTTATTTGTGGTCCAGGAATAAACAAATGGTGAAGATAGCCTTTAAGTAGGTGTTTGTTCACCTTTTATTGTTGTTTTTCCTTTTTTGGGTTTTAATGATGGTATAAGTTCTAATTAATCGAGTTTTTGTTTAATTGATAGGTGAGAATATCTTAAACTAGGTGACTTGGTTGAGCAGATATTGTGCACATCCATATTTGGAACTCCATAGCATGTTAGCTTCCTTATTTGGCTATCTAAATAGACTATTCTGTAGTGTGAAAATGTCATCTTCTTTTGATGGGCTTTTGAATAATGAATCATTAGTTTCTTTTCATTGATTAATTTTATAGATTGATTACACTTTTGTTGTTAGAGTAAGTTTTACTTGGTAATAAATTTGTATATTTCATCTTTAACCTTTTGGGTTCATTTCTTGAACTTCAATATTTATAGGTATAAACTTGTTGAAAAAAGGATGAGAGGCATTGGCAGTATTCAACATTTTGCTGACTTGCTAAATTTGTTAAGAGAATTTTCTTCACTTTCCTTGGAATATGCTTCTGCTGTTCTATCGTCTATGTGCAGGTTATTAGTCAAGATATCTGACACTTCTTTAGGCTTTGTTGTTCTAGGCCCAATCAGATATCTTTATACTTACTGTTATTTGATTGTGTGGCTTGAGTTCAAATTAAGTAAATTATTTGAGAGAATGCTTAATGATTTGTTTGGCTTGTTTTGCTTAGCAATGAGTCAAAGCCCGAAGAGTGGAAGAACTCTTACCGTTTCCCTTGCACTATCATGATTGAAGTGCCATGCATCCCTAGAATCAAGATTGGAATTATTTCTATGTCTGTCCTGCATGGATCTACAGTGATTATTTATTAGCCTCATTTTTGGATACATATTATTGTAGACATTATGTACCTTTTACATTTTAAATAAGAGGTTTCGTTTGTAAAGATAGTGACCAACTTTTGTTTCAATGCATCATATTGTGTATATTGGACCTATTATGTACTTCCTAATTTTGTCCAGTTACGGTGGGTTGTATTCTTAATGACACTGAATTGCAATTTTCACTTACCTCTTTAATTCAATAATTCTTTTTACTAATTATATGCCTCCTAATTGTATGGCCTCAAATAATTTGACATCTGTCATCACAACAATTTGCAAGTTAGATGGCCAGGATTGGGCAATTTGCATGCTTTCACCGTTTTCCAGCTACCTTTTTCTGCATAATCAGTAATTAATTTCATATAAATGGCCTGTTATGGCATGAAACTCAAGTGCGCCAAGAATTCCACCTTTCTATTTGTCAACTGGTTATTTCATTCTTCCAACAATAAACTTCGGTTAGGAAACGTTTCTATTGACTGTGAAGATAGATTGTTGCACGGAGGATTCTTTTTCAGAAATATGAACCCCCTTCATTCTCACTGTACACCTACTTCATACCATGTATCATACTTCCATTCTCTTCACCAGAGTTGTTGTGTTAGTTGTTCCAATTTTCATCTTACATGCAAAGAATTGGATAAACAATATAGAAACGATTGAACAACATCAAAATTAATGCTCGTTATAAATTTAAAAACACCACAAATAATCAATCTTTCACAGAATAATAGAAAAAATTAATAGTGTTTACTTATTGTTTAATATTTTTGAATCTCCCATTTACTTCTCCCAACACTACATCCCATCTCTACATGAAGCAAAATCATATTGATGAGCTTCAATTTTATTCGCCTCAATTATTTTCTTTTCGATCATTTTCTCGACACCATGTTAGAGGCAAACCTTTATTTACTCGCATTTTCTTACAACATTGCTTATTTAAAAGCTTAATCATTTTATAACCAGATAACTTAAATGCAATGCATATGATTTATGATATCTCCACTTGAAAATCTGGGCATTTTTTGGGCAATATGAAATTAACACCGCGCAACGCGTGGTGATCCCCTCCTAGTTTAGCTAAAACTAGTGCTGTTAATCGAGCCGAGTCGAGCCGAGTATCTGAACGCCGAGCTCGACTCGTGACGAATTCGAGCCAAGCTCGAGCTCGCTCGTTAGCGCTAACGAGCCATAATATGCACTCGAACTCGACTCGAAAAAAGGAAATGTGACTCGAACTGAGCTCGAGCTCGACTCGTTTATCACAAACGAGCCAGGCTCGGACGAGCTCGAGCTCGAGCTCGAAATATCTATCCGAGCTCGAGGCTCGATTTCGAGGCTCGAGGCTCGATTTTAGACTCGAGTTCGAAGCTCGAGACTCGATTTTGAGGCTCGATTTCAAAATTCAACAATCAGTTATTACGAAGTCCTGCTCCAGCATATCCAGATTTAGGCTATCCAAAATCAACAAAAAATATTAGGATTGGCAACCAATGCCATTCACATTCAACAATACACAAACTCTAACCACATTTCATCCAAGACAAATAAGACCATAACATCCATGATCCATACAACACAAACTCCAGGGACTGCAGTCAACAAATACACAAACTACAGTCTAATTCCATATGAGACAACATTCATAAGAGCCAATATACCATAACAGGTTTTGTCCAGCCAAATAAACGCACAAACTACAACTAAATAACCATGTAAAACACTGCTACATAGCTTAAAAATTGTCCAACTTCAAACACCTGACAAGAAAAAGTACAACCCCTTCAGAAATCACAAGAAAAAGCACAGCTTCACAAGTCCAGCTTTACAAATCACAAGAAACAGCATCACATATTCCAGAAAACAGCCTTCAAATGTCCGGAAGATCAATTTCTTCAATTGTAGATGATTCGGAAACATCGAGTGTTCCTACAAAACGAAAACAAGAAAGTTACAACTCCTAGCAAGATAAAATGAGCTGCCAAAATAAATAACTAATAGAGTATATATTTTACTTACACGAGACTTGTTTTTTAACCCATGAAGATTGCGGATCCAATCATTCCCACAAAGTAGCATTTGAACCGTTTCAACGGACATAGAAGCACGCCTATCATCGATTATTCTACCACCAGCACTGAAAGTAGATTCGGACGCCACGGTTGTAACTGGAATAGCGAGTATATCACTTGCCAATCTTGACAATATAGGAAACCTCCACCTTTCCCCTTTCCACCAACCCAAGACATCAAGATTTGCATTTGCATCACAAACATATCTGCCCTCTTCCAAATAGACATCTAAATCTGATTTTTCAGGGGGAGCCTTGTCAATTTCACTAACAATCATCTGAAATTTTTCTTTCCCATTAGAACATTAACTCCAAGCTTTTTAGCAGCCCCTTGAGTAGATTTACTTGAAATTTCCGAATGTTTTCTTTTTCCAGCTTCCCTTGGTGGTTCCTCACTATGAGATGAGATGTAAGCATCCACATATTCATTATAAAGGTCATAAAGAATGCATCTCATCTCATCAATGTACCTAGGGGCTGCAACTTCTCCATAAATAACTGGGAAAGTATGATTAACAAGGACCATTTTGTACCTCGGATCAAGAATAGCACCCAAAGACATCAAAACATTGCTTTCACCCCAATACTTGTCAAATTTTAGTGCCATACTTTCAGCCATAAACCTAATATGATCAGAAAAATCGAGAGCTTTTTCATTTAATAGCTCTTTAATCCTATACAACTCTACAAGAAAAAGGTTAGCTGTTGGGTAATCGGATCCAGAAATAATATTGGTGATCTCATAAAAAATACCCAAAAATTTACATACTTCTTCAACTTTCATCCATTCAAACTCACTTGGGACATAGTGAAACCCAGGATCAATGTCCCCATACCTGGGAAATACATCCCTAAACTCTAGAGCTGAAGCCAACATCAAATAAGTGCTGTTCCACCTAGTTGGGCAGTCCAAAATGAGCTTTCTAGAAGGCAATTGAAGCTGTTTTTTTATTTTGGCAAATTCATTGAGGCGAGACTCTGAATTTTTCAAATATTTAATCCCCTCTCGAACAACATCAATCACATCAACAATTTGATTAAGCCCATCTTGAACAAGCAAATTAAGTATATGGGCACAACACCTAACATGAAAAATTTTTTCTCCAATGCTCAACCTTTTTCTTAGACAGAAATCCTCTTTAACTCTCCTAATGCATACATCATTATAAGAAGCATTGTCCACAGTGATAGTAGAAACCTTATTTTCAATCCCCACTCAAGAAAACACTTACTTAACGCATCAGCAATAATTACACCCGTGTGAGGAGGTGGGACATTACAAAAATTTAGAACCCGTTTTTGCAACACCCAATCACTATCAACAAAATGCCCAGTCACAACCATGTATTGAATTTTTTGACCAGATTTCCACAAATCTGTGGTTATACTAATCCTATTGGCACCTTTTAAGATATTTCTCAGCCTTCTCTTTTCAAGCATGAAAGCAGTCACACAATCTTCCTTTACTGTTTGCCGGTTAATCTTTTTATAAAATGGAGATACAGCTTTCATGAACTTGTTAAAAACAACATGATCCAACATAGAGAAGGGATACTCATGTACAAGAACCATATGAGCTGCTAACTCTCGTACTTTAGCATGATCATAAGAGAAATTAGTTATAGAAGTTATACCATCCGAGGGGCCTTCGGTAAAGGATAACACTTGCTGCCTCTTTTGATTTTCCTCTCCAACAGCCAGCCTCTTTTGTAGGCAATTTTTGAGATGACGCTTGTGTTGAGAAGTAGCTCCAGATGGATTTTTGACAAATAGTTCTTTGCAGTGATTACACTGCACTTTCAATGTTCCATCAGGCTGTTTTACTATAGTCATATCCTCCCATATTGTTGACTTCTTTTTCCGTTGTTTTTTTTCAAACGGATTTGCTCCTTCAACAGCACCTTTTTCCCCTGTTTCTGTTCCTTCATTCGGCTGATCTAAGTGATCTAAGTCCAGCTCTTCTTCGCTCATCTCATCAGCATTAGACTCCACCTCAAGTTCTTGTTCGACAGCTTCATTTTCAACCTCCATAATTGGACTTGTTGACGATCCTTGGTGACTGTACATACCTATTATTTAAAAGGAAAAATATACTTGAGTCAAGTCCATAAGGAACATATGCAGGAATATAGTGAAGAAACGCTATAGTGAAGAAATCAGTAAAATTAAAATACAGAGTCCTTAAAAGAGGGGAAAGGCAAAAAAGAAAACAATAAAAGAGACAAAAAAAAAGTAAAAGGGAAAAGCGAAAGCAGAAGCACAAGAAAATGTCTCATAACATTAACAGCAAGGTGCTGGTTTAAGTAAGGCATCCAAGATAATCTTTTCCACACAAGAAAACACATTCACACTCCATGAGAAGTAGTAAAAGTTCATAAAAATAGGGGCCTGCAAACAAAATTTTTTTTTTGAGGAGTGCAAAATGGCCAGTTATATATCTTTCTTTCACAGGAACTAGTGTATCCCCTAATCATTCTTCTTACCAATCAACAAGCTTTTGCAATTACTGCAAGAACATTTCAAAGTGTACACTTGTTTTTATGAAAAAAAATGGCCTAAAGAGCTCCAAAAAGATTATATTCATGACCACATTAACCTGCTTTCCCTGCCTATCCAAACCTGCCCCCATTCCCACTCCAAAAGAAGAGCAATGATTACTTAAAACTTATCCAAGAGAAATCAAGTACAGTATTACAAATGAAAGTACTTCAAGACGTACACAAAAAGTTCAAGACATAACTCATATTATCCATAATTCGCATTCCCAAAAAAAAAAAAAAACAGCACAACATAGAATCAAGTTCCATATGTTGAGAATCAGACATAGCTTAGTGGTTAAGGATCTTTGTCCCTGCTTCGTTTTTCCAACCCCTCTCTTTTATAATTAACCTACGAAAAGAGACGAGACTTACCAGATTAACCTGCTTTCCCTGCCTATCCAAACCTGCCCCCATTCCCACTCCAAAAGAAGAGCAATGATTACTTAAAACTTATCCAAGAGAAATCAAGTACAGTATTACAAATGAAAGTACTTCAAGACGTACACAAAAAGTTCAAGACATAACTCATATTATCCATAATTCGCATTCCCAAAAAAAAAAAAAAACAGCACAACATAGAATCAAGTTCCATATGTTGAGAATCAGACATAGCTTAGTGGTTAAGGATCTTTGTCCCTGCTTCGTTTTTCCAACCCCTCTCTTTTATAATTAACCTACGAAAAGAGACGAGACTTACCAGAAATCACGAAGGATTAGAGAAACCAGTCAAATTGGACTGGTTTTTGGCCCTGGCCGTGGACGGGGTTGTTAATGGCAGAAAACAGAGGCTGTGGGCGGCAGTGGAGGCAGAGGTTGCTGTGGAGTGCGGCTTGCTGTGGAGTGCAGGGTTACGGTGTTGCGGGGTTGCGGGCTGCGGGGCTGCGGGGGTTGCGGGGCTGCGAGGTTGCGGAGCTGCGGCGTTGCGGGGCTGTGGGTGCGGCTGTGGGTTACTGGTTGCCGGTTGCGGGGTTGCTGGGTGCTGGTGCTGGGTGTTGGGTGTTGCGGAGCTGTGGGTTACTGGGTGCGGTGTTGCGGGGTTGCTGGGTGCTGGGTGCTGGGTGTTGGGTGTTGCGGAGCTGTGGGTTACTGGGTGCGGTGTTGCGGAGCTGCGGCGTTGCGGGCTGTGGGTGCGGCTGTGGCCTGTGGGTTACTGGTTGCGGCCTTGCGGGGTGCGGCGGAGAGGGAGAGGCAGAAATGAAGAATGAGAGTATGAGACGATGCAATATCAACCCTAGTCCAAATTTCTACCTGTTGACTGCTAAAATGACACAAATACCCTTCTTTGTCGAGCTCAACCGAGCTACTCGATAAAGAATCGAGTTCGAGCTTACTCGGCTCGATAACTAAACGAGTATTTGTCGAGCTCGAGCTCGGCTCGTTAATTGAAATTAACGAGCCGAGCTCGAGCCTTATCGAGCCGAGCCTTAACGAGCTTTCGAGCTACTCGTTTCGCTTAACAGCTCTAGCTAAAACCCTCAATAAGTCTCGCGCAGTGCAGCAAAGCGTCACCAGGCAACTGCTAGCGTGTAAGGTCCATATATAAACTCCAGGTAAACAAAAGAGCAGCAGCTTCTCCTCCTGCTGAAAGCTGAAATTGAGAATCCTCATAATCACCAAACACAACATCATCTCGCTAGTCGACACTCAATGGCTTCAGATTTCGTATTTGAACCCCCGAGCGATGAAGAGATCGAGTACGAGCACGATGACAGGAAGGACGACTCAGGCGAAGAAGACGGAGAAGCGGAAAACGACGCCGTTAACGAGGAGGAAGACGAAATATCAATTTCTCCAGCTAAAAAGAATAAAAAATCCAAGCACTCTCCCTGGGATTTTTCTTCCTACTCCCAGTCAGTTGCCGACGAGCATGCCCGCCGTTGCACCACTTCCATTGACTTCAAAATCTCCAAAGCCCTCCTCCAACAGCGATCCGCTCTTGCCCCTCCCCTCCTATCCCCACCTCCCACCACGACCACGACCACGACTCCGATTCCCAACCTGACCGTCAAGTTAGTAGCTCTCAACCTCCCCTTAATTTCTCATTTCATTTTTTCTTTTCTCCTTTTTTTTTTTGTGGAATTGCCTTTTCGATAAACCTACCTAGACAGTAATTCTTCCTTTTCTTGTTCCTTCTTTTGAATGAAGCTAGTGGAATCTAATTCATTCCGGCTAATGCTCACCCCCACTTTAGTATTTAATCTCGGAAGTTTCGCAATCCACCTTAACTTTTTCTACTGATTGAATTGTCAATATGTGTCATGTTATCAAGTTCATACATACACTATGATCTTGACACTTCTTTTATGGTATTAGCTTGTAAACGTGATAAAAATACTTTTCTTTCTTTTTTTTTTTGGCTTTGTTTCTTGGGTTAAAACCGTAATATGTACTCCAAATAGTAACTAGTATGATTGAAAGGAAGCTAGAAAGTAATACTTTTTTCTTAGTTTGTAACTGTCCCTATACCTAGGCATTTAAGTTGTTAAAAAACCTAAACTTGGGGGTATTTGTATTATTTTGGCTAATATAAAGAAAGAGAAGAGTGCCTGTAGCTAATGCTGGAGTGTCAAGATCATCAGCCTCTTTTTTTTTTCAAATAATCGGCGGAGGAAGTTTCCTACCACGCAAATTCATTTCTGGAGCTGCATCTTTCGAGGCCCGTACTTCGAGCTTGTGAAGCATTGGGCTATACCAAGCCCACACCAATTCAGGTTTTTGTTTCTTTTCCATTTTTTTTCTTTGGTTTTTTAAATGTGACTTTAATTTGATGGATATATGATAAGTCATGCATCCAGTAGCATTATGTTTTTGTGAGATGATAAATATTTGAGGATCTTTTGTTGTAGGCTGCATGTATTCCGTTGGCATTATCAGGCCGTGATATATGTGGAAGTGCAATAACAGGTTCAGGGAAGGTATATAATATAGATGGAGATATTTATGGGCTTTATTTCCTTATTTCTTTTAACCGATTTATGCTGGTTTTTTGCCATTATGATTGGAAGAAAAAGAGAGAGCTTTTTTTTTTTTTTTTTAAAGTTGGAAGTGCAATAACAGGTCCATGGAAGTTATATACAGATGGAGATGTTTCATGGGGTTTATTTGCTTATTGTTTCTTTTAACTGATGTATGCTGTATTTATGCCATTATATTTGTAGAAATAAAAAAGAGATTAAAAAAATTACAGAAATAAGAAAGAGATTTTAAAAAAAATTAATTGCAGCTATTGGTATGTTGTCTTGTTTGACTTTGCTCATGCAGACGGCTGCCTTTGCCTTGCCAACACTGGAAAGGTTACATTTCCATCCAAAGAATCGCCCTGCCACTAGAGTTCTAATTCTGACGCCAACAAGGGAGCTAGCTGTGCAGTAAGTTTTGAGATTAGGCTGTTAGTCGATTCACTTGATTTGTCATATAAAATTAGAACAGTTTTATTCCATTTCCTCAATCATTCCCCATGATTTTAATTGTGTCTTTTCTTCTCCTCAATAAAACTCTTTCTTTCTTTTCAAAGTTAACTGAAATATGTTAATGATGATAAAAGTGGTGCACTGACTTCTCTGTTCAGGTTTACATTTGAATTATATTTAATTGATTGGCTAATTTTTATTCAACCATTTGAATCAGGGTCCACAGCATGATAGAAAAGCTTGCTCAATTCATGACAGATATTAGATGTTGTCTGGTGGTTGGTGAGCTTTCATTGAAGGTTTGTTGTTTATCATGCTTGCTTTGCAAGAGAACTATGCCATCTCAACTTATGCTTTTTATCATTCATTTTCACTTTGCTGCATCTTTTAAATGTAGTTGTATTGACTGCCAGATAAACGCTCTTTAGTTCGTTTTCAGTTCTCCCATATCTTTTGGTTTGTATGATGCTAGTCAATGCCTTCTTTACTTCCGTTTTCCCCCCACTGCCTTTGCTTCTAGAATTAGAGTGGATTTTGAGCTGAATTTTGTCCTACATATGAGTAAGCTTAAAACATTGTCAAGCTTCACATTAGTTTGGAGTTAGATGGAAAGGTGGCATGCTACTAGTGAATAGGAGTTAGGCATTTGTATCACATAGTAGGTAATAGTTGGAACTTGGTTGCATTCGTTTGCAAATACGAATTGGGTAGAGTATGCAGAACTTCCCCCCTTCTGCCCCTAAATGCTGAAAAGGAAAAGTAGAAGAAACAATTGCCTGGGGTTGAAGTTAATTTTCTTCTGTAGGGACTGGTGGTACATATTTGGGAATTTTGTTAGTCTCAGTTTCTATTTAAAAAATGCATAGAGGTACAAGATCATGGCAGTTCCTCATGTGATTACATTATCTAACTATTAGTGTTTTATCAAGGACTTTACTTTTACACTACTGATGGTTTATCATATCTTGTCTATTCATAGCATTTGGTTGTCTACCAGAGAAAGTTTGCTAACCTTGAGCAATTTTCAGACGTAAGAGGCAGCTTTAAGGTCCAAGCCGGATATAGTTGTTGCTACTCCAGGACGTATGATAGATCATCTCCGCAATTCTCTGTCCATAGATTTGGATGAGCTTGCTATTTTGATCCTTGATGAAGCGGATCGTCTCCTGGAGTTAGGATTCAGTGCTGAAATTCGTGAGCTGGTATGTTTGATGACTGTGTCTTTTTCCTTGTATGGAGAATGGGCATTTTTAGGAAGTTTTGCAATGAGAATCCATTTTATTTTAACTCTGATATTTTTCTGTTCTTTCAATCGTTTTTAATAATCCCTTCTATGGTTGTTTATGTACTTTGAGTGTGCTTTCTTTAAGTGATTATTGGAGGGCTTGTCTCAGGTAAGACTGTGTCCTAAACGTAGACAGACCATGCTATTTTCAGCTACCATGACAGAGGAAGTTGATAAGCTTATCAAGCTATCCTTGAACAAACCTCTGCGACTTTCAGCCGATCCATCCACAAAAAGGCCAGCAACTTTAAATGAAGAGTAAGTCATCCCAGAGATGCTTTGGCACTTAGCAGCTTATGCTCATGGCAAAGGGTTCTCAGAGCCTTGTATTTTTATTGTGTACTACATCGCTATTCATTTTCTTCACCATGTCAACTGGTTTTCTGAAAAACTTAGTTTTCTTTAGACACTGCGAAGTTATTATCCTGTTCTGCATTTATGTAGGGTGGTTAGGATACGCCGGATGCGTGAAGAGAATCAGGAGGCAGTACTTCTTGCTCTGTGCTCTAGGACATTCACATCTAAAGTCATTATTTTCAGGTTTCCGCAGATAAAGTGATACGAGTTCATTCGTTAAATTTTTGTTCAACTCCTGATGTATAAATATGGTTGATAAATAGGTTATTCGAGTGTATGTTTTATGTTTACATCATCCATGTTATGAGTTCAGATAATTGAGAACCTTCCAGGTCTTAACACTGGTTAGTGTTGATTTAAGTCTACATTTTCTCAGAAATTTCATTTTCATGTGGCAGTGGGACAAAGCAGGCTGCCCATCGGTTGAAAATTTTGTTTGGGTTGGCTGGCTTAAAAGCTTCTGAGCTTCATGAAAATCTGACCCAGGCTCAACGCCTAGACATGAGACTTTGCATCCTGCATCCTGCTTTAAAAATTAAAGTAGGTTACTTTGTAACTGTTCAGCTAGCATATTCTCATTGGTGCTTTTTCTGTAGGCTCTGGAACTTTTTCGGAAGCAACAAGTGGATTTTTTTATTGCAACTGATGTTGCTGCTCGAGTAAGATAATTAGTCCATCTTTTGTAGGGTTTTATTTTAGCATTGCATTCAATTCTTTATTCTGTCTATATTGTACAGTCTGAAAACTCGGCAGCGCAGTTAAAACACAAATTTAAAATATCATGTGCTTATGGCCTAACTTCTTTTCTTTTTTT